TTTTCATTTCAATAGAAATAATAAATCACCTTATCCAGGAGAAAGAAGCAGCTTGACACAAAACATACGGTGCTGGGCTATTTTTATAGCACACCTAAGACGTATAGGGATTCATTTATTTACTCAGCTATTTAAAAGTGGCTACTCTTACTCATTCTCTGGACAGCTAAATGCCAGGTTGCTAAGTTACTGTTACTTGACATCATCTCCTCCCCAACGTGTTCCCACATTTGACAGGTTCACATGATTTACTAGGCCAGTCAGCTCGTTATTCACTTGTCCAGTGACGTCTGGATAATCATTTTAAATTCACATCATGTCCTCCCCAGCAAGCCCCCAGACTCCACATGAAAATATTTAAACTACCCGTCAGCTACTAAGTGCATTTGTAACCACACTGGACAGCATACCTGTATTTTTCAAATTACAATTATTATAATTAGGTTTAGCATCATTCTTCAATGTTGTTTGTATTTTAGAAGAGAAAACAATTACTGAGGGGCAAATAATGGGCTGTATCTGTTACAGTCTAATTTTGCTATGTGAACAGCTCACTTCAGCTGAGGTGAGATATATTAAATCCGTTAGAGCTTTCAATTGGCATGAGGAAGGTAATCTTACACATAATTTGCAGAGTCAAGGGCATTTTCACCTGCTGATCAATTTACATATTCTCCCATGTCATTAGACAGGAGCTAGTCATCAGAAGATGACCATACAAATTACAGACTTTGCTCATTTAACTCCAGTCATTTTTACACTTATTACAATCTGAACTATATTTGGGATCTGTTTTGCTTCCAGACTGGAAAGCTTCTAATTAGTATCACAGTTGTCCACATACCATCAGAAGTCCATCTAGTTACTTGATGCCTTCCTACTGTGAATATGCACGTACAAGAATTCTTTTGTTCCTCCAAGCAGGGACAGATTTCCAGACAGCAGAGCCTGCCTGGGTGGTTACGATACAGCCATGAGAGCTGCAGTGCTGGGTTATGTCCAATTGATTGCCTGAACACCCAGCCCAAACTTCCAATTTACACTCTGAGTCCTCCAGAACATGTAGTTAAAAATAATTTCCTTTCTCTCCCATGCAGTGTTGTGTGGTTATCAACTCTTTAGCCAGGGCACATCAGGGCTAAGGAAGCCCCGTGCTCCCCCTTCTGTGCTCTCCACAGACCACAGACAGGAAAAGGATCACTGCTTTTCACCCTCAGTGTCACCTACACCCCTCCTTTCCCTGGGCCAGCACATGGCTCACATCACAGGCAGTGACAGCAAGGCACTGATGGAAAGCACTGGTACAAGTGGCACAAGTAACAGCTTTGGAGACTGGTTGTAAATGTCAGCTCTCCCGCCCCATCTGCACTTTGGATCAAAACATTTCAATGAACTCATTTTTCAATGGATGCACATAGCAAGTGACAACTTAATTTAAATCTATATTAACAAAATGTGAATTACACAGACATACTTTTAATTGCCTGTCTTCCATATTATCCACACTTTCAAAACCACTGCATTGGCTGGAAAAATGACCCCAACACATTTTGGAACAGAAAAATGTGTAGACCACCAGGTATTTGCCTTTGTCTTTCAGTTTGGTATTAGCACCTTGTATTAAATGCAATCTGTGCTATCATTACTATTTCGCCTTAGTTGCATAAGAGATGATGATGATGATTACTATTATTATGTTTTATTATTATTTTTCACAACCTTCTCAGCCATCCTGGTTAGAAAAGTAAAATCAGCAGGAGACTGGTCTGCCATTAACCTTTGGCTGTAGTACTGGGAACAGTCCTTAAACCATTTACACAAGATGACATAAGTAGCTAAGTGTTTCAGGAAATCTAAAGGACTGTGAAATTTTGTCTCTGAAGACTCAGGGGTCTGAATGAAGTCAAGACCTTTCCCCTCACTTGGTTGAAAATTTTAGAATATAAATTCAATTAAACCTTTTTCTCCAAGATGGAAAAAAAAAAAAAGCAGAAGACAGATTAAGAATTACAAACCTCTACAATTACAGAAACCATTAATCAAGTTCAGCTTGAAAAAAGAGCTATGTAAAATCAGAGGTCACAGATCTTTGCAGGAGTACCTCTTCCTTGTAAAGTCTAGCAAGAAACTCTTGAGAGTTACTGTGTCTTTCTGAGGGATGGAACTGAATTAATTCCTCAACTTAAAAACACACAGAAAAATCAAAATCAGGAAAAAAAAAGCAAAATTAAAGGTATGCATTGCTCCAAGGGTGAGTGCCAGGCAGAGCATCCTTCCCCAGCTCTTTGGGGAGCAGACAACAGACACAGCCCAGAGCAGAAACTGGCAGGGCTTGCTAATGGTTTGGTTGGTCAAAATACACAATTACAGCCCAGTTGACCACTTTTGGGGCTTGACTGTCTTGGAATCCTTTGTGTTTACCTTGTAACATCCCTGACAGGACAGAAATGTGAATAACATGGTTTTTTCACTGAGAGAAGCTCCCATGAGGGAGCTGAGACCAACACTCCCAAAAGTTCATCAGAGCCTATGTAAATGGCCCTGAAAGGCCAAGAAGTACCTGTCAGGGCTGGAAACTTAATCTAGGTTCTTAAAGTGCAAATTTCTGCTGAAACCAAGGGTCATTCTTTCATCTGGAGCAGCCAGCCTGAATCTTCTGACACGGTTTCCATGGGGAGCCAAAGACTGGATTTTGACCACTGCTGGGCATCACATTCTCTTACTTATTTTCTCTCCATTGCCTGTCAAGTAGAATATGATACCCTGCATGCAGCCAAAACACATTTCCTGCTAGCTTGTTCTGCAGCATAAATTTGAGAAGAACAAAGTAAAACACTGACAAAACCCAGGTACTTCTAGTGCCACGTGTGCTTCAGTACCTCATGTGGCTGGAATCCTGAGCTGTTGCCCTGAGGGCATCCAGGGCATCCTGGGGCTGGGGTCTGCTGGGTCTTTGCTGAGCAGTCCCAAAGCAGCTCAGGGTTGCTGTGCTCACACAGGCAGGGCTGTACAGCCCAGTGCAGGCAGGTTACAAAAGGCTGAAGGCAGCCTGTGGGTGCCCAGAACAGCCCAACGCCGAGGGCACAGAGCCCCTGGGAAGCAGCACGAAATCTCCCTCCTGCCCATGGAGGGGAGGACCCTGGGGCAACCATGGCTGAGGTCCATGTGCCAAGGCTGTATCTGCACCCCAGCACAGGTGTCATGTGCTCCAGGTGCCTTCTGGCCATGCCTGACAGGTTTACTCCAGGATGGGCATGAGGGATGCCTCTGGCCAACTGCAGCCATAGTCCAGAAAGATTTGCTGGTTTGTATCCCTTTTTCACAGGCCCATTACATGTCCTTGTGAGAGAGATCCCCAGAGACATGGAATCCTGCTAAATCCCTGCTCTGTCCATCCCAAAAGTGCCCCCAAGGTCAATGGCCCACTGGTGGCAGGAGTGGGGACTCTGCTGGTCATCCCCATTCTTTAAAGGCAACAGAAAATCCTGCTCCAATCTCAACAGGTTTCAGAAGGAAGCCCAGGACATTGTGCTTGTTTGTTGACTCAAATGACAGTCATGGCATAGGAAATAGGGTCACCATCTTGATTAGAAAAAAGACATTTATGCTTCCTGTGATTAAATGCGCTGTTCCCACATTGAAAGTGTCACCTGGATGACTGATCCCTGAAATTCACCCCATCACATTTTCTTTTGATGCTTTTTACTGAAAACAATTGCTTTCACCTGGCAACAAGTCATTCATCCCAAATATAGTAATGAACTTAATTTAAATATATAAATGGAAGAAGACATTTTAAACGTACCAAGAACTTCGTAGAGCCTTTCAACATTTCCTTTGCTTTTGCTCCCTTAGTGTTCTGTAGGTAATAAATCTCTGCTCACTTTGAAGGTTGAAAGTAAATATTATTTATTTCCTTGCATTCATTGCTCCTGGGTGCTCATGGAGGATCTTCTCCCTAATGGCAGGTCTGCACAAGCACATCTGCCTGCTGCCTCAACACACTTCTGCAGCAACACTGCCACCCCATAAGGACATCTAGAGCAGCCCAAGATAATGTGTGTACAGAAACCAGGAGCAAGTTTTCCAAGCTATTTAATTCTGAATTGCAATGAATAGTGAGAAGCTTATTTTATTTTATAAGCAGAGTAAGTCTTTGCAAACAAGCTGGCATGACTGTTACACATGATTTCAGGTCTGGGTAGGTCTGCAGCACTACCTCCAGTAACAAGGACATGGCTGGCACAAATTCCCACTGAAATTTTAATCCCTTCTACACCACACATCAGCTGGTTGGCTGGCAATCCCAGGCAGGTAGCTCTGACAGATGGGAAACTCAACCCATGAGGAGAAAAACCTAAATCTGAGAGAGGGACTGGTGGGTGGCAAAACTGCCCCCAGGCAAATCTCACTGGCAACAGGGAACCCCAAAGTTAGGGTGTCTGAGGAAAAGCCCATCTTACACTGAGAGAAAGGCATACAACTTGTGCATACTCCCTTTTTCTTATTACATGATCTTGTTGCAATTAAGCCATTCTTAGTTTGGAGTAGCAATTTTCTGTATTCAACCACTGACCAAAGATCACAGAAAAAAACATGTCTGTAAGTCTTTAACAAAACCATGAATGATGAGCAATTGTAGTCTAGAGGAAGGAGGAAGGCTGTAGGTCAGCTTGTGAGTAGAAGAATTAAAGCAACTGCACCTCAGGGTAGGAGAGAAATGTGTCCTGGATAGACTCAGGGACTGAGAGCTTGAAAAGAACAGGAACATGTGTAAATCCTGACTGAAACAAGCTGGCAGATGCAGAGTCTTAGGTGAACTGATCTCACTAAGGAGTACCCTGGGCTTACCCCCTGTCTGTGTCTCTTAATACAGACCCACTGATATGTTATTATTTGACTACAGTGTTAAAGACAGCCCTATAAACCCTCTCCTTGGAAGATGAAAATAACAGCACTACAATTATACAGGAGGTAAAAAAGCAAAGGGTATTACTTACCCGCAGTATTTCTTCCACACAGCTGGAGTCATTGGGAAGGGCAACCTAGGTTTAAAGAAAAAAAAGAAATGTTTAGTCAGGTGCTGGATGCAAAGTTCAACCACACAGGTGAACAGCTAACAAGCAACTGCCTCTGTTTGAAGACTGCTGTATCCATGCTTGCTGCCTACCAAATTTTCCAGTTCAGATCAACATAAATCATCAGCAGGACCCATTTTGTCAAAAGTTGTTTTTTTCTTCCACACTGCTTTGTGTTCCTAACAACACTTTTGAAGCAATAAAGTACTCTGATTTCCTCACAGTTGAGAACTGGCAGTGGAATTGCCTGAAACTTCTGTAATTGAAGAAGATCCCACTGTTACTCCTATCGGCAGCCTTCAGAGAGAGGGCAAGGTTTGGTTTAACTTGCCACATGCTGCAGAGAAGGACAGAGGTGATAACAGGAGAAAGCTGTTATCATCAACTATCTTATCCTACAGCTTAATAGGCTAACAGCCCAGACAGCTCTTAAAACTTAAATATATACTGTAGTAAAATACTGGTTGGACTGTGAGGGTGGTTGCTGATTTTGTTGTCCCTCACTCCATCAGCCTGTTGCAGGTTCAGTGTCCTCTGCAGCCTGCACAGCACACAGGTATCCACCTCGAGAGGCCTGACAGCTGCTGCTTCCCCCCTTAAAAAGATTCAATTCATCTCTGCTCCCAGCCACACCCACACACACACAGAGTGATGCTGCTAATATATTCCAATTGAGAATACTTGTTAAATGGCACTTACAGCATTTGCCACAATCCCTCATTCTAAGGATATGAAAGAGTTCAAAACCTTTAAATACTGTGAACAATTACAGAAACAACAGGCAGGTGTGACCTGTGTGTGCAGCCACTCTGTGGCACTTGCAAAGAGCTTGGTGGGCTCTTATCATGGGGTAAAGCGGCAGAGGAAGAGACAATATTCAGGAAGGGCCCAAAGCACAGGTAAGTCCTTTGTGCCATAAATATTCAGTCAGATTTTCTGTCTGGTTCTTCTACCTTATTGCCCTTAGTAACTGGTTTGGTGAAAGACAGTCATGACTATACTTAATCCCTGTCATCCTAATCTGTGCTAGAGCTTGACCAGAGCACTGGCCATGGCCTTCTGCCTGCATTTCAGCCAGCAGTAAGTTTCATGGGTAAATCCACACAGTTACAGAAGTCAAAGACCACAGAGACCTCTTAGATCACCAAGCTCATGCTCTGCTAATGCAGCAGATTTTCCCTATATCTTCTAGTACTATGGCTAGTCTGACCCAAAAACTGTAGGGAAATGGGTCTCCCATTCCTTCCCTTAATAAAATATGGAGTGCTGTAAACTACTTGGTACTTTCTTTATAATGGTTAAAATCTTGTTTTCAGTGTCAGCTCAGCTTTTCTGTAGAGCTCTTCCCACTACTAGAAGTAATCCATTACTTCCCTTTACATTTACACCATACACAGACATGAACTTTTTTTCGAATGCTCTGTGTTCAACTTTTACCTTCTTTCCTGATAAACCAGATTTGCCTCCCCTTTGGCTTATTTCATCACTGTTCTCTGAATTCCCAACAGTTCATCAGTATCTTGGTAAAGGATTACTCAAGTGAATATGACTAAACCACAGGGATATTAGTGATTTTTATCTATTATAGATTATAATATTCCACAATATCACCTTAAAACTGTCAAACAACCAAAAAAAGAGCCTTACCTTTTGTCCCCAGTTTCTACTCAGCTCAAATTACCTACCAAGCCTGGCTGAGAACTGCCCATGTGTGGGCAGCATGAACTGCAATAGGCATGCAGTCCACCCTTACACAACAGGACTTGGATTTCATGGGACTTCCTTCAACTCCCTACTTTTCACTTAAATTATTTTTTTCCTCTCTCAATACTTTTAAGTTCTTGGCTCCTCTGTGTTTTCCATTCCTCACACCAGCTCCCCATTCAGTGAGGAATATGGTTAATCAAAAGGTTAGCAAGCAGGGGTATTGCTGCACTGTGCAGTGGGACAGAACACATGTCTCCAATACACGCCTCTTTTTTTGTTGAAAAACTAATATGTTGGACTATGAGAAAACAAAACAAACAGTCCTCCAAAAAGCTCACAGTGAACACATCAACCACAAAATTTCTCACCACAGAAACAGGAGCAGCCCAAAATCCAGCTGAGTGAGTCAGACTGGGAAGAGTGAGAGCAGGAGAGGTACAGAAGCTCTCTTTATTTAACACCCTTCCTACCATTACACATACCAGCCATAATGGTTAGCCAAGGTACCACATGTATTTCTTTGTTTAGAAAAGTGATGACTGTGTCCCTCACTATTAATACAGGACAGAGCATGTTCTTGGTTGTCTCACAGTCCTCTCCCCACTCACAGCCCTGTTTAAGTTTATATTACTTCAGAACTAATGATGATAATAACAGTAAACATACAATTTTACTTTAATAAAGCCCACTGTATATTATGCAATTGTAACCGGCTTCTGCTGGCAGCACTTGCTAATAACTTTAAATGCTCATGCATCAATTTAATTGTGTTAATGGCAAAGAAGATTTTAATAGCTTGACAGAACTTTTGTTCCCTTTAGCATTGCTTTGTTTTGAATCATTGGTATTAAAGTAATGCAAGATGTCAAAGTGCTGTGATTGTCATATAGGGAGATCCAAGTAGAAGAGAGCACAAAGAGGAAAACATTTAGATTGATGCAAACATTAAAAGAATAATTATTACAACATGGCTATCAGAGAGAAGATCAATGTAAGAGTCTTTCAGTACATTACTATTAATGGATTTCTAAAGAAATGAGACCATTTTTCTAAATTCATGCTGCAGTTGCACATTCTAAGAGACTTGAAAGGCACAGATCTATTAGAAATTTAGAGTGTCTTGAAAAAAAAAGAAAAAACAACCTCTCGACCTTTCAAAGTGTGAATTAAAAATTGCAAGTTTAATTGTCCATAAACACTCATGTTCAGCTAACAAGTGTGAGCGGGCCCACATGGCACACCACGGCATCCAAGCACAGATTCACTGGGACAGAATGAAACAGAGCAGATACAATATTCATCACTTCCCCAAGTGCTAGTGCTACAACAAATTGTTATTAGAACTGCCATTAATAAACTGCCACAATCCTCTTGTAGTTTAGTCAAGATTGGACATTCATCCCATACTACTACTTTCCTAATTAATAAAAATCAAGCATTTTAGGACCCATTATGTGATTCTCCATCCCTCCTCTCTCTTCTTCAGCTTTCATCACTAATCAGAGTCTAAAAAGGAGGGCACAGTTTGCACTTGTGCATGCTCTTGGTGCTTTTCTTCCTTTATGAGCAGCGTGGCCGAGCTCAGCTGAAAGGACAGATTCCAGAAATTTGGCTTCTGCAAGACTGAGTGGTTGCAATTCACATCATGAGCTCTTCTCTCAGCCAGCAGTGCATTCACAAACCCCAGACTGAAGAACAGCACATAAGCTGCAGACAGACGTCCTGAGGTAATAAAACTTCAATCAAAGCAAGGAGATTTCACAACAGCTACATGCTACACTGAACTCATCTTCCAATTTCCTTTTAATCTGGCACACCTCTTTTGCATCAAAATGCTTCATGTTTACTTTTAAATATTGCTTGCTAAAAAAAAAAAAAAAGAAAAAAGAAAAAAAAGGAAAAAAGGAAAGGTCAGATGGTCAAATATTCCACCTAATACAAGCCACTATTCAACAGCTTTCTTCACTTTTTGGTCTCACAGGAGAGAGGAAAGAGCTTAAATGATGTGGAACCAACGGGTTTAATGTATGGCTTGGGTGGCTCAGCGCTGAACTTTAAAGGGAGGGAAGGAGGGCAGAAATCTAACAGTGAGGGAACAGTAGCCTTTAATGTTATACAGATCAAATGACATTGGGTGAATGGTTACAATATCTGATGAGTCCCGTTGGTCTAACCTTCCATTTATTCATTCTACAGTTCCTTGACTAGTCTTACCTCCTGGACAATTTGTAACCTGCATGAGATCAGATTTTGTTTTCGTGGCACAGAAATATCATACAAAGACTCTTCTCCCTGTAATTTACATCCAACAGCAGATATTTCTCAGAAATGTTAGCAACACAATCTTCCAACAGACTTGTGAAAATAGTTCTGAAAATTCAAATGCAGTGCCATAAAGCAGAAATACACCATGAATAATGTCTTTGCCAGAAGTGACCGACTACATTTTCATCTGTATAAACTGTTCATGAACAATCTCCCTGGTTTTATTGACACACAATTGGCATTCAACAAGTAATCTCTTCTTCCTATCTTTGTTTTATTGAAAAGGTAAGTGTATCATGGAAAATGAATGTAGGAGTCCACTCATTTCTTGCACATGAGTACCTGTGTGCTTATACATCAAGAGCTCAGCTTTCCTTGTCATCTCCTTTATCAAGGAATCCATTTTGACTCTGGGGAAATGAAGCTCGTGCTACTGTTTACTCCTTCAAACACAAATTGATTTTTCACTCGCCAGCATGAAAAGATCCTGTGCGTGAGCCTTGATTGATCATTTCCAGTGTGCACCACACAGTGATATCAGGAAAACACTTAGAAAACCAGAAACAGCAAAAGGAGGACAGTCAGCAGAGGCCTTGTCCTCTGAGTGCCTTCAGCTCCTGCCAGGCTTCCCATTAACAGAGAGTGCTTGGTTTTTCCGATTTTTTTTCTGATTGATACAAGTGGGAGATAGATGGGGCAGTACTAAGACTAGCAGAATTTCCAGATACAACACCCTGGACTGGATGGTGTTTGAACATCCTCCCAGCCTGTATGAACCTATGGTTCAATTCTTGCAATAAGCACATTACAAATCTGAGAACATGCAATACTTCAGCTGCACTTGTCATACACACCCATGTCTTTCCAGCACCACCTTTTCTTTGACTGCCACCAGTATTTTCTTGCACACTCAGGCTTCATTTCTCCACTTTAATGCTCTCAACATTCCCCTCAGCTGCCATCTGACTACACATTTCTCCTCCTGAGAAGATTGT